ATATTAGAAGGCTTGTCATAGATAAGCTTGTCTAATTTGTCATCACACACATCAACATAATCGACGCATGCGTATTGCAATAAAATGTACAGACAAGGATAGATAGATGTTGAGGACAACGGCAAGTCAGCTATGCCCCTTCCAGTATATATGTTCTAAGGTTTCAACCCATCATATCAATAGTTCTGGTCATAAGAACAATAAAAAAAATTACTAGTCATTATTAAAAGCATTTCACGCACTGAAATGTAATATGCTAGCGTCACTAGCAATAATGTAAATGATACTAAGGACTGGGAACTATGATTCTATGGGCGGTATTCATAGTCCGTTCTTATATTCAAGATCGTCTTAAGCACGAACTTATATTCGCTCTCTTCGTCAGATACAATCTATGTGTGACGAAGAGAGCGAATATAAGTCCGTGCTTAAGACAATCTTAAATATAAGAACGGACTATGAATACCGGCCTATGCTCGTACAAACCCAGAACTATGGCTAGTGACGCCAACATATCATATTTAGGCACTTTTAGCGGGCATAATAATTATAAACAAATATTTAAATAATTAGTTTCTGAATAGAACTGTAATGTAAATGATACTAGGACTGGGAACTATGATTCTATGCTCGTACAAACCCAGAACTATTGCTAGTGACGCTAGTATATTACATTTCAGCGTGTAGAAATGTCTTTTAATAATGACTAGTAATTTTTTTTATTGTTCTTATGACCAGAACTATTGATATGATGGGTTGAAACGGTAGAACTCTTTGAATACTCGTACTTTATGGCTCATACGTTCGAAATCCGGTGAGATGCTGGAAGGTGAGACGGGAAGTTAGCATCTCATTTCTTGAAATTTTATTTTACATCAGATGACGATCATTTGCTACTTGAAATAAAATCATTATTTTAATAAAACGTTTGTCTTAAGGGCATTTTAAAATAAGTTTCACAGTCGTCTTATAAAACAAATCAAGAGACATCTCGAAGACGTTTCTAAATCGTCGAAAATTGTTGCATAAAACGTCTCATAGAGAGTTTTAAATACGTCTCTCTGACAGTTTCGTAAGACGTCTGAGTGATTTTAAGACGACTTTCAGACGAACATAAGACGACATAATGTTGTGTAGGGCGTTTACCAAATATGTTAAATTGTATGCTACGGAGACTATTTCAAGTAAAAAGGGTCTTAAAGCACTTCCGATTATTTTCATAACTATAGCAAACCACAAGTTATTATTTTCGACAAGGGCTCTTATTTTACATCACTAGAATTTAAGAATTTTATTGTCAAGCAGGCCATTAAGCATATATTGATATAGGCACTGGCTGTCCTCAAAGCAATGGTCAGGCGGAGCGAGTTAATCGCGTATTAATTCCTATGTTAAGTAAATTTGTAAATAAAGAAGAAAATCAATTCTGATACAATATTTTACCACAAGTTGAATACGCTCTAAATAATACGATAAATAAAGGCACGGGAGAGACTCTCAGTTAATTATTTTTTGGAATAGATCAGCGCAGCTCTGTAAATGATTCAGTTAAAAAATATTTAAATACAAATGTAAATGTAAAAGATAGAAATTTAACGGATATAAGAGCAAAATCTGCAGAAAAGATAGCGTCTTGTCAAGAATACAATAAGAATTATTTCGATAAAAAGCATAAAAAACCGACTGGTATATAAAGAGAGTGATTATGTTTTATTGCGTAATTTTGATAGCACCGCTGGTATTTCTAAAAAACTAATTCCCCAATATAAAGGGCTATACGTTATTGCGAAATTATTGCGAAACGATCGATATTTAGTATCTAATATCACTGGTTTTCAGAACACACAAAAGAATACCGAAAAGTGTGGAAAGCCAAAAACATGCGACTATGGGTTAAATCAGATACTGATAAAATTGATTAATTTGAGCAAGACATCTAGATGTATTTCGTGTTTAATTATCAGTTTATTGTGTTCAATATCAGTTTATTGTTTTTGTTTCATTAGATTAAGATCGAGGACAATCTCTAGTCAGGATTGCCGAAATTATAAAGGTGTATCTTGGTGTGTCTTCACCAGAGTTCGCGAACAGTTAACGAACAGATCGCAAACTGTACTCTTTTTTATGTGGACGTCTGTTCGCGAGCAACTCGCAAGCTGTTCGTTAACAGTTGATCAATTAATATTTTTTTCATTTGTTTGGTTGCTGTTTGCGAGCAGTTCGCAAAAAATCAACGAACCAAACGTACCAGTGTGGACATATTTGTGGTGATTAGTGAATAATAATAATATTCAAATTAAAATATTCAAATTCAGTAACTGACACTCGACAAAAAGTTTTGAAACCGATTGGATCCTCCATTTTTAAATCGGTCAGAAATTTTGAACCACTATTTCTGTTTTGAAATAATTTTCTCTGCCAATAGCGTCGTTTGTATCTCTTTTGCCAGTATATGCATTACAACAAAACTTGTAGTAATAACTGACCTTGAGCACTCATATTTTTTGTAACTTTCCACAATAATTATATTAATATTTGTTTAAAAATTTTCGCCGCGTCAAGCGACGGAACCACGGCGAACATTCGACGAACTGGTTCTCCAAAAACGTGAACATTGGTGTCACTGATCTCTATATTACACTGGATGGCGTATGCTGTACAAAATGTGTGTTACGATTTGAAGACCCGGCAGCCATATTTGATACAGTAAAATATGCATCTTTCGGCGGTAAAATTCAAATGACGGTAATAATATAAACAACGATTAAAAAAATATTTTTATTGTTCACAAGTAGAAAAGGTAGTAGTATGAGTAAATGTGCATAAATATAAAATAATATTAAAAAATATAATAATTCTAAATGAACAATATATAGGAAAATATGTTAAAAATATGTTTTGTAGAAAAAAATTAAAAGTCGATGATTTTTTCAAAATTTTTATTTTCAAACTTTTTGCAATAAGTAATACAACTAATAAAGTAATACATTAAAAATCAAAAATTGTTATAAATGTAAATAAAAATATTGAATATGATATTACAATATATATAATGTAAGTAATACATAAAATATAAATTCCAATGTTAAGTGGTCTGAACATAATAAAGAATGATTCTTTGGTACAAACTTTGATCCGAGATTCATGTTCTGCAACCATAACTGCAATATTTCCTTATCTTTCAGAGGAAACCTTCACAAAAAATATTCCACAATATTAATTTTGAAAAAGATATGACATTAAATGCAATAAAAAATTTACATAACCTGTAAGGCATAAATATGTGGATATGTAACTTATATACTTACTTATGATGTGTTCTACCCTCGATCCCTTGTTTTGAACCACAATATGTACACGATGATACCATTTTTGTAGCATGAGTAAAAATTTTGTTCAACTAACTCGATACGACGTACATACGACAGTTGGAATCTCAACCTCAACTGACCTCAACAGTGGACGCTACCATATTTGCATATTTACTTTATCAAAGATGGCTACCGTAACAGCTGTCCTATTCGATACG